ATTCATTTTCATTACCCGGCCCTGTATTCTCGTCCCGTTCCCGTACAGGCCCTACATAACAGACAATTCCCGTTCAAATGACAGGGAAATTATACAAATATGATTGTATTGTATACTGTATTGGATAAAACTTAATCAAATCAAATGCTGGCGTTAAACATGGCATTCAAAACGATGCGATGATTAGTATTTGCGAGAATACAGGAAAAGGTGGCGAACAATGATGACTATAGATGTGACCGACTGACAGACCCGGTGTCATAAACACCTAACGCGTCGTAACGAGGGTCACATTTTTGTCACTACCTCTCCTTCTCTCATAGCACTCCCATTGTATGCATACGGGCCCAGCGGTGCGGCTCTGGACACCGGGATTAATGGAATTTTAATCAATTGAATCTCATGTGTATATCTTGTGGGGGAAGGCATGTCCCGCACGATTGGCCCCCAATTATAAATAGCCATTTGGCTAATGAATAGTAGGCACAGGTGTGAAGAGGCTGTGACTGAGTTTGTGAGAGGTGTTGGAGGTGGAGGTGGTGGCGGACACGACCACCCATTGGTCTAATATAATGCATTTGTTAGGAGATGTGTTAGATTGAGGTCATTTAGTGATTCAAATTGTCTTTAGATGAGCCCCATAATCAAATCACAGCCAAACACACGAGATGTCTGTCTCTCTATGTATTTTTTGTATGGCATTTGAAATGTAATTTCATAATTGAGTTAATGTTTAGATGAGTTGTCAGTAATATAAAAATATTATATATAAGTCTTAATATGTGTGCTTCATGTGCTCTCTCTCTCTCTCTCTGACTGTGTTAATGTTTGGCACTATTTTTAATGTATTATAAGTTAATTTGTATGCAATTAAAGATTTATTATTATTATTTCTTAAATATTCTTTGATTTATTGACTAATATTTCTTTTGCACACAATTTAGGGGAAGATTTTGTTTGAAGTTTTTTAATAGTTATTTTGTGAATCAATTTAACTTAAAATTAATGAATCGGTAATTAAACGAAACTTTTCCAAACTGACTGCTCAATGAAAATCCGTTTATGAGAAACCATTTACTATATTTGATGGCAAACATCGGGAGAGAGAGAGAGAGAGAGAGAGAGAGAGAGAGAGAGAGACTAGTCTTTCTGTGTTGGGGAAAGATATCGTACAATTCAAGGCCTGAATTTAAGAGTAGTTTTTTGTTAATTCACTTCATTTGACTTCCACTCAAAAATTGTTTGTCATTCAAATGCAAACTAAAACTCGTGAATAAAGTGATACTCCCTTCACGAGTGTGTATTACGAGACACACAAACACACCACCAGTCCATGAGTGGCAATCACTTCAATAAATACTTATATAAAAACTTTATTTTCTTATTTATAGTTTTTTGTTCACTATTTTTGTTAGGAATTAAGGTATTTATATTCAGTTCTTCATTTCAAATTCTCTCTCTCTCTCTCTCTCTCGCTCTCTCGTTAAGCGTCGGTTTGTTGTATTCATTTGACAAATAAAAGCGTATAAAACACTCGAAAATGTCTTAACATTTATAATGAATGCGAGGAAAGAGATGAAGAAATGAGAGGACAGTCAACGCAACAACACATATACAGTAGAGTAAGTGAGAGGACCGGTGGGTATGACAAGTGGTTTGACAGTCAGTGAATCCGGTGATCGAATCCAAGAATTCGATTTGCATTGTAAGCCATTTGATGGCATGTGTGTCCGTCCGGTGCTGTGCACCTGGTGTTGACTTTTCTCATAGCAATCCTTTTATTATAAGGGGCTGTAAAGCTATATAAGCTTTTGGGGCTCATCTAAAGACAATTTGAATCACTAAATGACCTCAATCTAACACATCTCCTAACAAATGCATTATATTAGACCAATGGGTGGTCGTGTCCGCCACCACCTCCACCTCCAACACCTCTCACTTCTCTCAGTCACAGCCTCTTCACACCTGTGCCTACTATTCATTAGCCAAATGGCTATTTATAATTGGGGGCCAATCGTGCGGGACATGCCTTCCCCCACAATATATACACATGAGATTCAATTGATTAAAATTCCATTAATCCCGGTGTCCAGAGCCGCACCGCTGGGCCCGTATGCATACAATGGGAGTGCTATGAGGGAGGGAGAGGTAGTGACAAAAATGTGACCCTCGTTACGACGCGTTAGGTGTTTATGACACCGGGTCTGTCAGTCGGTCACATCTATAGTCATCATTGTTTGCGAGCTTTTCCTGTATTCTCGCAAATACTAATCATCGCATCGTTTTGAATGCCATGTTTAACGCCAGCATTTGATTTGATTAAGTTTTATCCAATATATCCAATACAGTATACAATACAATCATATTTGTATAATTTCCCTGTCATTTGAACGGGAATTGTCTGTTATGTAGGGCCTGTACGGGAACGGGACGAGAATACAGGGCCGGGTAATGAAAATGAATGGGGCGGTCGGGGCAGGGAATCCCTGTAAGAAGATTTCCCTCTGATTTGCCTTTCATGAGAGTCTGCGCGCAAATGTTTAAATAGTTTGGTATGAAGTTTGTGTAGTAAAGGGTCTGTAATGCAGTTATATTGTAATAATCAGTATCCGAATTGAGCTTAACTGGTGATAGTTGATGAGACAGCACAGTCTATACGGTATATAATGTGCACAACTTATGCCAACCATGTACTATCAACTTTTAATACTGTATGCGAATAATAGTTTTTATGTGTGAAATCAAACCTTGTTTTAATAATTGCTTAATTAGTGGTTCGCTTCGACCATAAGCTGTGATTTGAATGGTTGGCACACTTTTGGCGAAAGTCGATACCAATAGTGGTTATAATATGATTGCATTGGATTCACACGTTTTTACAACACATACCCACTGAACGACTAATTGCCCAAAAAATTGTGCGAAAATTATTATAATTTGTTTTGAAAAACATATCAAACATAAGCCGATATGAAATTGACATTAAGTGCGAGTGTTTTACTGAAACTGACGTTTTGTGTGACAGTGTTTGTGGTGTTTGACAACTGGCCGACCGGTTGTGAGGCCCGCAAAAAATCCAAACCCCCTCTCATTGAGGAGAGACCGCATAAACACCACCACAACGACAGACTTACTCGTGAGTAATGAAACACCTCTTATCGGAGATGTGTCCATCAGTTTGGCAATTATCCGCCAATATATCGCACCTCACGTGCCCTCTCTCCCACTCTCTCGTCTATATCTAAAGCACTCATGACATGAGTCTCTCATGTGTTGAACATTATTCTTGTAATCAATTTCTAGTATTTAAGGCTTAACTTAAGCTAACCTTAAAAATATTTCGTTCATCTTATCATAAATACTAATAAAAGCATTTAATTCTCATTTAGAGATGACTTTAATCCCAGGGCCAGAGATATGACGAGAGAGAGAGAGAGAGAGAGAGAGAGAAGGGATTATTGAGTAGATTGTCTGTCAAACATTATGATTAGTTTAGAGAAGTTTGTAGGCCTGGAGTAGATTACGGCATATAAATATGTATACAGTATATGATGGCAAACGTGGTAAAGCCTGGTGTTTGTTTGGCCCACCACTTGACCACTTGGTTCTCCCACTAAATTGTAAATCTAACACCAAATTTAAGGAAACATTTGCGAGTAATTTATGTGAAATTATATAGAATTTTATAGCAAAATAAAATCATTTTAGCCATTTGACAACAGATAAGTTAAGAAAATAAAGTATAAGTTATGGTAGTTTTGCACTGAATTTAATAATAATAATAAAAGTGAATGTCATTTAAGTGTAGACAGAAAGAGCAAAAATAATTGTTATTGTTATTAACAATAATTTACTGCATTATGTAATGCATTATAAAACAAAGTGACGATAAAATATGATGTGATATTGGCTTTTGCTATAACTATAACTATAATTACTGTCAAACAGATTGTCCTTTCGGTAATGAGACCCACGAAGTCGGCGCCCATTGGAAACCCAATCTACAGCCGTTTGGTGTCTATTATTGTATTCGTTGTGAATGTATTTCTGTGAGTAATTTTCAATCGCCAGCGAAATTAAATACAATACAAACGCATTGTATTGTTATTTTTGTTATATAAATACATTACGTATTCTTTATAAATGACTTTCATTTTATATAAGAATACATGTATTTATAAGAAGCGATGAAACGATTTCTATTTTTATTGCTTTGTTTTATTTGTTTGTTTGCTATAAATAATAGTGACTTTAATAACGAGAATGAATTGAATGTAATATTAGGTACAGAGAAAGAACCGCAATGTGGCGAAAGTCAGGTGCAAGAACTTGAAGAACGACTGCCCAAAGCCCACATGTGATGATCCGGTCCTTCTGCCCGAAAGGTGTTGCAAGACATGCCCCGGAGATGAGGGTATGATATATACACCGCACACACGCTCTTATCAATTATGCGATTAGTTTCGCCTCATAATTGACATGCATTTCGTGTGCCATTGCTTTCGCTTTCATAACTGTTTGTTTTCACAGAATTTCCAGAATTTGCAGAATCGACGGCTAAACCAGATTTAAATAAGACATTAGCAGTGGAACAGCCGTCCAATCAAACCAATAGTGAGACTCCGGACGAGTCGTCGACACCGAAGCCCTTGTCATCGGAGACGGCAGTCGTCGGCGGCGACGATGAGAGCGGAGTGCAAAAGAAGTCACAGAACGACCAGAACTCGCAAAACAATTTGATCGGAGAGCCGACCCATAAGTGCTATTATGAGGCGAAGATATATGAAGAGGGATCGCAATGGAAGACAGAGCGCGACGACTGCGAGATGTGCTTCTGTCAGGTATTGTCACTCTTTTTTTGGCTCTATATTCAGTGAACCGACTCTTTTCGGACAAATCGTCGTCAAGAAAGCACTCAAACTATTGCCTAATGTTTACATATTTATGATGTATTTCTCGCTATTTTTGTCCCTAAATTCCAACACAAGTTTTTCTCGCGTTTTAAAAAATTCAAAATTTATTTTTTTGGTCCCGAAAGAGAGTTATTGAAAAACATGAAAATATTTTGCATTGCTCTCTCTCTCTCTCTCTCTCTCTCGATTCAATAATTATTTGTAACAACATTTGTGTTGTATTTTTAGCTATAAATGCAAATAATTTGCGTATATATTCCCAGTCATGTCCTTCGTGTCCGTTTGCCTTCGCTTACCAAACGGTTTTGTCTCCTGTTTTACGCATAAAAATACAACAAAAATCATTTCTCGTAAATACAAACATATATTTGCAAAACACAAACATTAAGAGCACTAATGAATTACTAGTAATAATATTTGTTTTATTAAATTTGTTGTAAAACAACGAATAAATTGCATTTAAATTCAATTAGTAATGGAGAGGGAAATGAATATATACATGAATGTATATATATATATATAGAGAGAGAGAGAGAGGCATACATAATTAATTGATAAACGAATTGCATTATGAAATTGTGTGTAAAGATAGAGAAAAATGTGAACAAAAATACTATTGAATAAACAAATTTTTGCAATTTCTCTCTCCTTTTCTCTCTCGTTGTCGTCATTTCAAGAATCGTATGATATTTTTCTAGAGAAAGGAATTAAGGCTATAATAAATAGTGTGTAAAAATGGTCTCTCAATTAGATATAGTCTGATTGTCTGGTGCCTCATAACTGCCTCATAACTAATATAATATTTTGCAAAATTCTTGCACTCAAACGTCGTCGTCGTCTCGCGTTTTTTAAAACCACTTTTTTCTCTCCCTTTTACTAGCGTTTGATTTTTCATACATTCAAAGCCAAAACTGAATGTTTGGGAAATTTATTAAAAGGAAAATTTTATTGAAAAATGATTTAGTATTTAAACATAATTTTCTACCCGTTTTTTGTATGTATTTATTCAAAGAGCTTAACTGCGAGAATGAAATTAACATTAAAATAATATTTCATTTATAAATATGTGTGTATAATGTTATACAACGAGTGAAACTGTTTATACCAAACGTTACTATGCGTTGTGAATGAGAGTTAATTCAGGAGAGAGTGTTTTGAGATTGATTTAATTGAGCCCAAAGGCAATTATGAAATATATCATCAAATTAAACACAGACTATGCCATTGCATACAAACTTCATGCCTAAACGTTATTAACGCTAAACAATTACGGTATCCAAAGAGTATAAAAGTTATACATTTATTATGAAATCAATTAAATAAAACAATACCTCTTATATACGCGAAGAGAGATTTAATTTAGTTTTTTTGTGCTGTGTTGACAACGATAACAGCCATACCTTACTTCTCACATAAGTTTACAATTTAATCAATAAGTTTAGCGTTGATTAAGACATTTAGGGAACAAAGTATACCTTTGAGATTAACTATACATTTGAGTGTATGAGAGGTACAGTAGTTGTAGGCCTGAGTGTATGTGTGGATGGCATACGTACGGCAGTCCCTAACCAGATATCATTGCCAATTATCTTATAATGCCTTTAATTTTATTGTATATTTATAATACACGCTATTATTATTACTGCTATTAACAAAACACCTGTTTGTATATGCATTAAGTAATTACATGAATATTATATATTGTCTGCGAATTCTGTGCGCAAATAATTTAATGGTAAATCTCTGCGAAATGAATCATCAGTTAATTGATTTGAATAGCATTTTCCCTTCAATCGATTGATTGCCACAAATGTCTTCGCGATTGCAATCGGAGAATGAGTTCATTAAATAATATTATTTGAAGGATAGGACGACGATTGCGGAGAAACTAAAAATAAATGTTTGATTTTAATCAATGCCTGCACTCGTATATGACTACCAATACATGTAAAGACATCATTAGATAATACTTAAAAAGGAAATAAATTTAATAATGACTTATGAAGGTAATTGTTGTCAATAATATGTTATAACTTTTATATATATATCGCATTCTGTCTCTTAATAAGCAGTTTATACTCAAAATTATTAATATAATGAGAACTTATATAAGAAGCACATGTCTGTCAGGTCTGGCGCTCATTCAACTCCTAAATCTCTTATCAATTATAGATCACATTCGAGATTCTGTTCCCTCTATTCGGTTGTGGCTCTCGTTAAACAACGGCTTACAACCCGTCTCTCTCTCTCTCTCTCTCTCTCTCTCTCTCTCTCTCTGTTCTGGCAATTTCTGCCAACGACTAAATACTTATTCCTTTTAGTCATCAATTTATAAAATTCATAACACTTTAAGAATCAATAAAATAAACAAACAAATAGACAAACAGACAAATGAGCGCTAAATTCTTCAAATCACAAAACTCTGGGCTTTTATTTACATTTCACTCCCAATTCAACCCTTATATAAGACTCGAACCAGAGTTTCCTTATTAGCGATCGCCGTATAATAATAATTATTGTTTAAAATGTGTTTAAATAAGTTTTAATACTTTATTACCGGTATTATTGATATAGAGATCGTTATAACGATAAGTTTAAGTCAAGTATGTTTTTGCACCAATCGCTTAACTATGCAAATGCTAATTAAACGTATAAATTACTGTACTTTCACTTAAAAGCTTAGGTTTTTATTATTTTTACACATATTTTCATTCATTAGTTATTCATATGATTGCAAAATATGTTGTGAAAGTGAGGAAAACAAAACAAAATAAAAATTTTTATTTGAAAACAAAAACATGTAATAATTATTGACATAAGTATAAAGAGAAAACACTAAATATTTTGGTATCAAATGAGTTAATTTCTGTGCAAATGAATGGCAAACATTGATCCATATTTAGATGTTTTGTATTATTTATAATTGATTTAACATTCGTTTTGGTTTTATTAACTGATTTTTATTAGTATTTCAAAACAATTTTCTATTTAGTAATATATAATTGATTGATATCTTTATCAGTTAGTCATTGCTATGATTACTACTACCAGAACAGGTCCTGTCGTGGGTTTGGATCTGATGTTGAAGGTCTCTGTCGGCTCTGCCGGTTCTCTCTCTCTCTCTCTCTCTCTCTCTCTCTCTCTC